TTGATCTGATAGCAACTTGTTGTCCAAACGGGGGACCAAATCCCCGTAAGGCTACAGAAGACGATGCCTATTTTGACAACGGGCACTTCTGGTCTTCCTTGAAGCGTGCATGGTTGACTTTCGCGAAGTGCCTTCTCGTATGTCACTTTTCCGAGCTTGATCAGCTTGGTGTCTTCTTACCTCCCACTTTCCGTTCCCAATTAAACACTTCTCGATAAGAGACCTTCTAATTTGGTATGGCGCCTTGTCCGCTTGCTCAGTTCCGTACAGTGCCTGCAAGGATAAAACAGAAGAATGCCACATAACGTGGATGCCCATTAAAACAACGAAGGCCGGGTCTCTGTTCAGTTCTCCGGCTGGTACACGATACAACGTCGCCGACATCGTCGGTCACGACGGCCAAACTGTCATACCTTGTGTCAGCCAAGGAAACGGTTTGCTTCTTGAAATATTTTCATCGGAACGTCACGATGAAGCAATTGCAAATTTAAATTTGCTCGTAACTCCTTCGACAATGCCACAATCGACATTCGGATTTCCAGAAAGGACATATGCCAGTTTAGCACCGAATGTTCACTTTTCTTGTTAGCAAAATTTCCACGCCTGAATTTTGGCTGAACGCCAGGCGTCTCCATTTGCTGCGTGCGCAAGCATTATTCCTACAGCAACATGGCGTGGTCATTTTTACCACGCATTGCTACTGACCTAAGTTCGCCAAATTTATTTAGGCCTTTTTCAAGGACGAAATCCAAAACACTTACTTTTTGTGCCTCTTTGATTCTGGTTGGAAACGGGACATTATGTACGAGAAATAAATTATCGTCGGATATAATATTCCTGAATCAGCGATTTGACGCGAATTATTTACTGATAAATAGTCCAAGTCGGTCATCAGTGTATTGAAATCTACGGCAATCAGTGGGTCTCGGTTTTGGTTCGCGCCTTGAATCCATCTAATTATTGTCTCGTTAACATCGGGAGTTTATTGGGCGGTCTGTAGACGGTACGTAAGTTCAGTTTTGGTGTATCACACATCTGTCATCTAAGTCACATTGTTCCGCAACCATGAACGCAAAGAATTATGAATTCGAATGATGCCTTTTTTAACGTATATTATTGGTCCTTCCCTCTAATGTAATGATGCCCGGATGCATGTCTGTCGTCCCTGCTACCAGCTTGCCTGATTTATGGAAAAACGCCTTGCAAGTGTGTAAAGAAAGTTGGGTTTTGCACAGATAGATTGCCAAACGATTTTCGATTTGAAGTTGCTGAATGTTTTACGTGGCTTTAGCAGCCCAGTGTACAAATTTCGGCCCTCTGCTGTTTCTTAGTACTTCATGCCAATGTGTTAACCATCATTTTCACTGGATGATTCAACAGACAATGGCAATCTTTTTAGCAATCGGACAGTCCAGAATACCCAGTGTTATTGGCTGTGTCCAAAGAAAAAACCTCCGAAAATTTACGATATCTTCGTTCAAAACTTATCTCCGGGGAAGCCCTTATGACGATTTGCTCCTTGCTAATTTGTACAAATGCCCATCGCAGCGCGAATAGCATCTAGGCCTCTCTTTTTGCTACTGTTAGGCACTTGGACGCTGACTTACGGGAGGTCATTAGAACATCGAGGTCCTTCTGTCCCACAAACTTCTGAAAGGGGCTGCCCAGCAAAAAGGAATAAGAATGGGCTATCTAATTCCTTAGTCCCTGTGGCACGGAATCTCAGAACAACACAGTTACTAACGTTAAGAGCTAGAGGCGACGAGCAAACTAGCGGCTAAGTCGAATAAGGCTACCTTGAAGCCTATGCCTATCTGTGTCTGACCGAATGGCTCTCGGAAGCTTGGCATCTCCATGCTTACTGACGAGACCCCAAAGCATGTTGTTGACACAGTAATTTTCACGGAATAGGGAGAGTAATGGACAAGGAAAAAGATAGTTATCTTCCAGTTTACTACAGTGCATCGCAGCACAGGGGTATAGAGCCGTCATGTAGCTGCGTTTTTAGGGGAATCCATCATGTTTATCATGTGCACCTGCGCAACCTACCAGCCGAATCAAACATCCGTCCTCAATAAAACGAATTCAAATGTAAGTCCGAAGCGTTGGACGAGCAAACCTTTTGTTCCAATGCTCGTACCTCCTTCTTAACGACTGATTTCTTAAACACGTTTCTTCGTTTCGGTTAGTAAAACGCATACCATCGCTTAATTGTCAGTTTTCTCATAGGGCAGCGAAAACGGATTCCACAAGAAAAGGATAAGGTTCTGATGGGCTCATTAATGTTACTCCACTTGTCTGTAGTGACTCCGTTTGGGGTTGTCATGTTTCCGATTTTCTGTAATCTGCCGCATCCATTAACATTATCATTAATTTTAGGTCCTTTTTAGAACAGCGGAACCTGTGGCCGCAAATTCTAATAATACGTGCTTGCTTAATTTTTGGAACTCTCTTGTTATCCGTAACCGTTTTATCTTTTGTTGAATTTCGGGAAAACTCTCGAGCTACTGAGGGAAGATTACTCCTTCGTCGAAATCGAGCCACTAAAACGAGAAACCTTGGCGTACGTTCAGAATTGTGTTATTGGTTATCGGTTGCGCGATATCAAGGTAGGATCGAATCCAGAAAAATAAGAAAAATTAAAGTAGAAAATGCACAAAAGCCTGCAATTAATACCATTTAAATATGTATTTCCTCTAAAAGTCGAGGCAACATTTTCACGTTTAGAAACTTCACTTTGAGCATATCTGATATTCATAAATTGTTTTCATTTTGGCCAGATTTTGTCAGTAAATTGGCAGATACTAGTAGATGTCAAGAAGGAACTTACCGGATAGTTATTTAGGCGCGGTGACCTCAATGACGCATAGATAACGCTGTCTTTGGTTCTAGAGACTACCAACTGGTCATCGATGACCCGGAATATCATAAAAACAATTGTTTCTTAAGGAAGTCGGTGACATACTTTAAATGTAGTTACGTTTTGTCCAAGACTTCGTTCTCATTCAAGCGGCCAAGCAGGTTAACAGTTTTGCGACTTTTCGTACTTGTAGTATTTAGTTCATCTTTTGGATAAGCCTTCACAAACTTGGATGACATTGAGCTATTACAGTGCGCGTATAAAGATAGGTTAAACGTCAGGTTCTTTTTGTGACCGGAGTAGGTTGTTGATATCAGAAACCCTCCAGCAATTAAAACGAATTAATTGGACTCTGTAATAAGGATGCACTTAAGCACTTGGTAAGGGATTATGTTATTTATTTTGTTCTGATTATTTTTGCTCTGTCTGCGGAAATTGTTTTAGATAACAAATTTTTACGAAGATACGAAATAGCACTTAGTCATCTCTTGTTCGTTCGATTACATTCGAGCTGAAATTTTCGGCCTTTATCGGTCATGAAAGTTACGTTGCCACCAACACGTCTTAAACTCTCGCTACTTTTATCTTTTTGTAAACCGCGATACGGTTTTAGGTTCCGCATCACCGAGTTATTATCACAAACGAATAGGGTGCCGTTCAATGACTGAAGAAGATTTAAATGCGAATGATCGAGTGAATAGTTCAGGCGATCAAGATAATCACGGTTTGTCCGTCTTTTATACACATTGTCTCGCGCAGAAGCCTCCGAACAGATAGCCATTCATGTAATTGACGACGCAAATGGGGGTTTGTCGTTTGGTTTCAATAAATGTCCTCTTATCAAGTCGAAGGTTCCTGCCGTTGTGAAAAAACACTGTTATTAAGAGGGATGAAGTTTTTCCAGCGCTATTTCGAAGGAAAAGATATTGAAGGCGTTACTTCGGGAATCACGGTTCATTGCGATGTGGACACATTTCAGTGGCTCCTGAATTTCATCAAGCAGGAAGCTTCAGCCGAAAGATTCGGCAGTTGTGAACTTACAATAGCGAACGTCTTTCCAATCATAGTCTCGGCTGAGTTCTTAGAGATGCCAAGTCTTGTAACATCGGACCTTTTTACGATGATTGATGCAGGTTGACGAATGTGTCAGATTTATCATCCAACACTTTGACGAACTGACCGATCAGCCATGTAACACGAGTTGCTTCCAACCAGTCACAATCGAAAGGTTCGATATGTCCTTGGAACCTTTTACAAGCTTTTTCCAGGATAGCTCGAAGTTTTATGCCGGAAAAATTGAGTTTAGTAAGAGAATCGTCGTTCAAAAGGTGCCTGTGAAATCCTTCTTGAATGAATCCTTTCCAGTATACTATTCGAGCAGAAGGTGAAAGATCTTTTGAAGCATATCTTAAAAATCAATTCCCCTCCAGAAGGAATCCCAAAATTGTTTGTGTAAGTCGTCCCAAATTGGTAATTTTATTTTGCCAGGACTCTTTTTTAATCATTTTTTCCTTGAGGACCACGGGAACTAGAGGTACGTACAGACAGGAAGCTATCTTTCCAATGGAAGAGAATATGCGCATTCCAGGTCCTTGTTTAAAGGAAGACAAAAACATAATCACTGGGACGGTAGCTTTATTAGTCTTAGATTTCGAACTCCAACAAGAACTCATCGTCAGCGACTGTCAGAATGCAGCAACGCGGGAACATTTATACCGTTGTGCCGCGAAAGGGGATTACATCCGTGGCTAGGTCTGGTTTGTGCTGTCCGGCCCACAATGGTTCTCCGGCGTGGTGACGACGTTTGTTCTTCGCGGCGATGTGAGCTGCGTCCACCTGTCTGAGTGGACGGAATGCCTGTGTTGCGGAAACCTATGTCGCTAGAGGGGATTGAACCTTTGCTCCCCAGAGTACACACTGGCTTTTCTATCTCTTGGTTATTGCAGTTATCCTCATTGCTTGTTTCAATAAATAAGAGTTCCTTTTTTCTGGCTCATAAAATAACTTTGTCGTTGTCAAAGTGCCTGCCGTGTTGTGACGGTAAGACAAACCCCTTTATGTGCACACAGGAGCGCATTGTGACCGTTCTAATTCGGATTTAAAATTAGTAACCGGCCTTTAATTTACTTCGTCGAACCCAGCTTATCCGAGTGATTCTGAAATCTTTGTCTAGGCGTTTTACTTAAGTACTCTATATTTCTGAAGAATAGCCGCGTAATATTCATAAGCGAAAGTCCGTCAGTAGTGTGCATTGTGTGCACATACTACTTCAACATCGATGTCTGGCACCTCTCAGTTGTGCAAATTAATTAAAAAATTTCCTCCTTTTAATTCAAAAAAAATGCTAAGATTCGTCTAACTCATCGCTAGGTTGGGATAAAGGGATTAAAAATGTATACACAGCAGATTGGAGGGTGGCGGTGTCTTATCTTAGGGCGTAATTTGAAAATTACGATATCCATCAAGGAGATGATCAAGCTAAAACAGGCTTAGCTTGCGATTTAGAGAATAGGTGATTTCAACTAATTCGCAGAGCTGGCCGTCGTTGCGCAGAATGATTGTCAACAGTTCGACCTCGTTTTCTGACTGTGCACATTTTCTGTTTCCAAGGTCTGGGTATTAAACACCCAACCTTTTGAACTAAAGGTTTTTAACAGTTTTTCATCGTATTAATAATTGCATGGAATAATTCTTGGTCACATGTGTTTATGTTGCCTCACCTGAAGTAAACAAAGCACAGCCACCCGTAATACAGGACCGGGGATAGTAGGGGGTTTTACAGGTGGGGCCGGGGGCGCACAGGTGACGAGGTCAAGCATTTTTATGCAAAAGAAAAGTTTTTGGGAATGCGCGGTTGCATTTTGAGTGGCTGAGAAAAAATTGCCCTAACCCCTAGCCCTAACGCCTAACCCAATCCCAACAGTATTTGTCCATCAGGTGCGGCTACGTAATCAGATCTTACCTAATCCTTAAATAACGTTTTACATGAATTCTTTTGACTTAGGTGTACCGCATGTGGACTCCTTCTGACATGGAATATTGCGCAAAAAGTGCCATGCCTCACATTGAGACGAATACTTGACCTGAACGGTGAATGGGTACCCTTTCACAAAGTACAAGCGAAACCTAATAAAGACGGCGGAACAGTAATGTAAGTTGCCTTCCTCAAAAGCACTCATAATTCTGAGTACTAGTCCAGATCCAGAGGCCATTGTAGAAGGCCTACACCGAGTCTATAACACCTGGCAAA